AAAGCCATAAATAAATAAACTCTATGAAGTAATTTTTTGAGGTTCAGTTTATCTGGCTGCTTTATGAACTCATCTCTCTGATAGGCTCACAAAATTATTTTTTTAGAGCATGTAATTTTTTTTCTTGTTCTTAGGATGGACTGTCATTCTTGTGTGTTTCAGCATATTGGGTAGAAGTAGGTCTTCAGGAATTATAACTATAAAGGAAGATTGACAAATTTGACTACATTAACTTAATTAACATTAAGAACATGAAACTGCAAACCACAGACTGGAGAAAGATACTTGTAATGTGATGTCTGATTAAGTAGTAGTTGAACAAAAATGTTGAAACACTTGGTAAGCTGGGTTGACATAATAGCCACAACGATAGGCTCAAAACATCCCAATGATAATGAAGACAAAATAGGATCAGGAAACATGTTTTCTATTATATATAAAGTTGCTAGGGATCATATCTGACTTAATGACAACTAACAACAATAGCATGACCAATCCAATTTATATAAACAGGATAAAGACTATCCATGGCCTAATCAGAATGAAAATCTTGTTTATCAAAGAATTTTACCAAGGTAATGAAGAGAAGAATGTACAAATTGGGAAAAAATTTCAGAGAAGGGCTTAATACTCATAATAAATGAAGAACAGTTAGAACCAAAAGAACAAAAAAGACAAACAATCCAACTAAAATTGTGCAAAGCATTTGAGTAAACATTTCACTGTAGTTTAAAGTCAGACAAGGACATGAATAGATTCGTTGCTTCATTGAAAAAAAACAACCGAACCCTGAAACTCATGGCCATTGAGTTGAAACGGATTCATATCTGACCCTTCAGCGTGGTTTTTGCAAGCTGTAAATTTCACCAAGAGGTTGCCCATCCTTATCCCACAGAGTAGCTGTTGGATTATATAACTGACCCCCTTGAGGTTGGCAGTGCAACTCCCTACCGACTAGGTCACCGGTCACCAAGCCCCTTAATTTCATTAGGCAAATGCAATGAAAACCCCTGAGATAGCACCTGGCACTCACTAGAATGACTATGATTTAAAAGACGGAAAAGTAAGTAAGTAAAAAAGTAAGTGTGTAAGTAAGGATATGGATAAATGGGAACCATCATCGATTGCTGGTAGAATTGTATGATGGCATAGTAGCATAGAATCTGGTGGTTCTTCAAAAAGTTAAACATACAATTACCATGATCTTTTGTTGTTTTCATGTGTTGTCGAGTCACTTGTGACTGACTCACAGTGACCCTGCATACAACAGCTCTGAACCTGCTCTATCCTGTGCCAACTTTATTGTCTCTGACATAATCTAGCCTATTGCCGAAGTAATTGTGTCACGTCAGTCCACCTGGTTGAGGGTCTTCCTCACCTTTGCCATCCCTCACCCCCTTTCTAAACATGGTGGTCTTCTCCAAGGAATAGCCTCTCCTATCAACATGCCCAAAGTACACAAGCTGAAGCTTTGTCATCTTTGTCTCCATGGAGCACTTTGGCTGCATCTTCTCCAAGACTTATCTGTTCTTTTGACAGTCCATGGGATATCGAGTTTTCTTTTCTAACATCACAGTTCAAAAGGCATCAATTTTTCTTTTGTCATCCTTATTCATTGCCCAGTTCTTAGAGTGATTGAAAAGACTGAATCAGGTGCATACTGTATCTCACTGCTAACATCATTGTTCTTTGGTAATTTGGAGAGGTTCTTGACTGCAGACTTTCCCATTGCAACACGTCTCCTGATTTCCTGATAGCTGGTACCAAGTTTATTGACTGTGTATCCAAGTAAGACAAAGTCATTGACAGTTTCAATCTTTTCTCTATTGGTCCAGTGGTGAGAATTTTTGTTTCCTTGACAATGAAATCCTTCTTTTCAATCACTTCCAGTTGTTCCTTATATATTATTTTTTGCATTGTTGTTGTTATGCACGATAGAGTAAGAACCAACCCATAGCTGACCCTCCAGCAGGAGGCAGTTAATTGCATGGGAGCTGATTGCCCATCTTTTTCCAGTTGAGTGGCTGGCAGCCTCGAACCACGTGCCTTCAGGATTGCAGCACAGTTACTTGACACTAGTATCATCCAGTCATTTAATGGGAATTACAAGGTAATCCACTGCACCACAAAAATCCTGAAATTCAGAGAGATCACAAGGCATCTAAATAGAAAGTCCCTTATAACTCCGAGCTCATTGTTCAATGTTAGTCTTTGGAGTGCAGGCTAATCTTTTCTTTTTCTTTTAAATCATATATTGTATGAGAAAAAGATTGGGACTGTTAATCAAGCATTTATCGTATGGTGTGATGTGGTGTGGCATGGTGTGATGTGATACAGGGAGAAAGGACACTGAAACAAGTCTACAGCCTGGGTTCTAAGCTGTTACTGATGCTTTTTAGTTCCAAGTCTCAACCTGGTAAGAATGTGATGAGAACATAGAGAGGAACATGTGCTGTAAATGGTTAAGGCATAATATACATGTAAAGGATGTGCCTTCTTTGGACAAGTAGGTCAACACTGCCAAATACTCTTCTAAAGGGAAATGATTTTATCAGGGGTGACAGGCTCTCCAAATGATTTCTCCTCAACAAGGACCAAGACTTACATTTTCAGTTGGTCCTTTCTTTAAAGAGAGCAAACCCACAGCAGGATGTGGAGTGGGGTAGAAGAAACAGAGAAGAGCAGGGAACAGAGCACACTTGTCTGTGAGTTCCACGGGTGTTGAAGTGATAGTGCCTAAGCAACAATCACTGCAGGGAGGGAGTGGAAACTAAAAGAGCTGGAAGGCCCCCAGAGAGGATACTGGCCAGACCTGCAGATCACAGTAATCAAGCAGCACACATTCTCTGGCAGGAAGGAAGACTGGCCACAGATAGATAGCAGCAGATCCTATTTCAACACTTCAGCTTATTTCGGTCAAAGACCCTTAGCAAGATTCAGTAATTCTGTTCAATAAGCTTCCCCATGCTGTTCCCCTTCCAACCTGGGTTTTCCTAACTCTTCTGCATGTGCTGAGGAGGTGGGATAGGACTAATGGCTTTGATCTGCTTTTCAAAAGTCCTTGAATGAAAAAAAAATATAATACTAGCAACTCTTAGGTCTAGACAGGAGTTTAGAATTAACAAAGTGCTTTCGCCTTTCCCCCCACGCCCCCTTAATCTCATGAAAGAGCCAGAGTAGTCCACACAAAACACCTGGGTTCCCTAAATCAGAGAATATAGGAGATTCTAAACAGGATCATGGCAAAGTCCCCAAGGTGGGTAAGTCAGGTAACTGTCAACACACAGCCCCAGCTGAAAAGAGCAGATTGTGCTCACAGCGCCAGCTGAAAGCCATTCAAGCAAGACAAGAACAGAGGGCTTCTGTTGTCAGTAAACAGGGTATTAGTAATCTGGACCCTTTTTTCCACTTAGGACAACCTTCTAACTATATTGTTGTGTGGAGTTAGAACCAACCCTTCGCTGACCTTCCAGCAGGTTTTCAGAGGCAGTAAATCACATGGGAATTGATTGCTTTTCTTCCTCCTGCAGAGCAGCTGGGGGTTTGGCACCATATCCCTTTGCACTGGCAGTGCAATTCCTTACCACTAAGTCATCAGAGATCCCTTCTAACTGTACAGACATCTGAAAAACCATCAAACAGCTAACACTAAGGATTGACTAGCTGACATCCCAGAGAGGACAGGGATGCAGGCAGGTCAGCTATGTATTTCAGCCACATTGACCCTAGAGCACTAGCCCATTTAGAAGTGGCATCTGATTTGAAATTAGATATTCTAATTTCCAAGTAAATTGTGTTTCTGAAAGTATTGCAGGGCTTTGAGGGTTAGAATTCAGGGCTCCCCAAAGGTAAGACACCAGTGAACCAGAAGCAAACCAGCTCCTTTGTAATCTGCCGGAAATTCTTCAACCCTGAGCCATGATTAAGGTGATTCCAGAATTCTAGTGCCCCAGGTAACTGAGAAAAGGAAAATGAACCCCTCTCTAGAGGAAGTAATTCTTTAAGGACTCAAATGATTTCCAGTAACATTTTTAAAATATCCAGCACAAAATAAAAAATGTGGCACATAAGGAGACAAATCAGAGAAGCAACAGAAACATCTATGCTCAGAGATTACAGTTACTGGAATTATCACAGACTGAACGCAGGAAAATTCTAGAAAATATCCCCAATCCAAATAGCAAATCTGGCTATTTGAATTATTTCAATCCATCTCTATTTGCCTGGATTGCTACAATTCTCATCTTCAAATCTGCTTTTAAGGCTGTCTCTAGATATTTCCAAAAATAAACTCAACTCTTGTCCTTAACATCATACAGTCTAGTCATGTTAACACTACCTTCCTATTTTATGAGTGTTCTTCTGCTACTCTGATACAGACACAGTGCATAATTGTTAAGTCTGTTTCTCAAGGAGACTATTAACATCTTAAGGTTAAGATCTATTTCATTCCTCTAGTACTCTTGGCATCTAGCATCATGCCAGGCTCAGAGTAAATGCCAAATAAATATTTATGAAAAAATAAGTGTGTTCTTACTATTCAGGGATATAAACTATTTCTGGGAATTCAAACATACATTTTCAGTGAAGGAAGAATTCTGCTCACACTGACAAGAATGGTAGAGAGTGGACACAATGACGCTAGGAAAACAGGTAACTTTTTAAAAAGTTTTATTTCAAGAACTTTTGTTTTTTACCGGTATCTCAAAAAAAGGTGGATCAAAGTACAAAAAAAAGTCAGTTGAATAACAGCGTAGGTTTAGAAATCACAGCAGTAGAAGCAATGTACAGATAGCACAGACAAAACAATCCAATATATGCAATTCCATTCAGATTCTTTGCTTATTTGTTTTTCCCCCTCCTGTACAAAATACATCAAAGCATGCCATGAGATCAGAAAAAGAAAAAGGTTTAACAAATGGTTACAAGAAATAGGCTGTACAAGAGGAGATAACGTTTCTTCCCTCCCTCCCTCCCCCCATTTCCTTGCTTGCTCTGTCTCAGGTTAAATTATTCTGCAGACAGTTCACGTCCAAGTCTGCCTGGTCACCTTTGTTACCCTCAAGTTTGGGCGACATGGAGTTCTGGATGTTAAAAGATTCCTCCTCCTTCAGACAAGACTTGAGAACTTCCTGGATTTTGTGGGGAGCACTTGGATCATCCTGGAAGAGGAAAAAAGTAGTTTTAGGATGTAGAGGGAAGGAGACAATTGATAGAGCATCAAATAAAAAAAAATCTGGTTTTTCTATCTGACTGAAAGACTTCTCGCTATTGAGTTCTTTTGACTCACAGCAATCCTCTAAGACAGAGTAGAACTGCCCCAGAGTTTTCAAGATTGTAAATCTTTATGAGAGCAGACTGCTTCATCTTTCTCCCTCGGAGTAGCTGCTGGGTTTGAACTTCTGACTTTGAGTCAGTCTTCCAACACTGAAACCACTATACTACCAGGGATGGTTGGTGGAAAGCACATCACTGAAAAAGAAAAAGAGAATTCTAAGACATGAATTAACAAATGTTAATTCATACGCAGCTACTCTTTAGAAAAGCCACCCTTTAAAGCAGTGACTAGACAGAAATGAGAAGCTTGCCAGGAAATGGAACACAACACTTTTAATCCGGTTCAGTCCAGAGTGGGTAGAAATGTTGTCTGTTGTTACGTGCTGTCAAGACAGAGCTGACTCACAGCAGATCCTTCAGTAGGTTTTCAGAGGTTGTAAATCTCACAGGAGGAGACTGTTCAGGTTTCTCTGACAGCGCACCTAGTAGATCTGAATTGCTGTCTTTGGGTTGGCAGTGGAATGCCTTACCATTAGGCCACCTGAGTTCTGGGTCAAAATAGTCCCTAAATATTGTTTCTTTAGAGAGTCTCTGTTGTGTGCTGAGGCCCACTCTGCAGCATACCAACGCTGTAGGACAGAGCAGAGCAGATTGCCACATCTTTTATCCCAGGGAGCCAATGGTGAGTTCTAATCTTTTGGTTAGCAGCAAAGTACTTCATCACTGTGCAACCAGGGCTTCTGAGCTCCTATAGAGTCTTGCATGTTGCTTCTCTGGCTTCTATGACCTTTCCTTGGTCCTTCAGTTTGTTGAGTTCTGCTCACCCAAGAAGGGCTAAGATAGGAAGCACATCCTGTTGGTACATACAGTGTTGTGCTCACAGGGTTAGGATTAGAAGTAGGCCTGTTCCCAGCAAAGCCAGGGCCCAAACTCCTACAGCAAATTTACATTCTCTGACCAAGGACATGTGAGCCTTTTACTATTAGACCTGTATCTACCAAAGCGCCTGAGCCTCGCATATTCTGCATCAAATGGTATCCAAGCTTCTGGCTCATGACCCATTTCTGCAGCGTATCCATGGCCTTCTGCTAATCGATGTCTGTTGCCTGCAGCCCTGTGACAAGCTCCTGATTGGAAATTAATATGCTTGGGGAGGGTTTTTAAGAAACCTTCATGACACACACACACCTCTAAATGCACATTCTAAGCAAAGAACTTCGACGACATCTCCTGCCTCCTGTTCCTCCATTCTTAGCATTGACTTGAAGGAATTAGACTCAGAGGGTCCACAAGTCTCAGTTATTTCTCTGTGCTCCAAACAGCTATTATAAATGCTCACAACTTTGCTAATCAAAAAGGTCGTGTAACTACTTGGGCCTATTCACAGGTGGCAAAAAGAGGAACTAATGTCCTTATCCACTGAACTATGACTTTTCTTGCTCTACTGAGCTTTCGTCGATGCTGCCTGCTACTGAGTTTGATCCTTGACCAGGTCAAGGTAGTGAATGCTTGAAAAGAAATCAGTGAGAAATTCCAGGCTTTCCATGATGCTTTGTATCACAGTGCACAGAGGTGTGTGTGTGTCAGCACTATTCATGGCCGGGACTGCTGTTACCTTGTCGCTACTCCAAGGATTAGTCAGTGTTTTCACAGAGGTCTAGTTTAAACAGGGTAATTTGAGTTTCAAAGACTTCAGACCTGATTTATTGAAAATGAGGCAAAACCAAGTAGAAACAAACTTCATTTGGTAGTGAAGCAGACAGCATGAAGGGCCCATGTGGTGTTCACTGCCATCAAATTGATTGATTCAAAGCAACCCTATGAAAAGAGATCTGAACCCTGCCTTATCTTACACCATCGTCACGAGCTCTGATTGGAGGCAGAAAGATCTCTAGAATATCAAAGCATAAAGAAGAGGTAGAAAATATATGTAGTAAGGGCCCACAATACATACACATAAATACACATTTTATGGGAAGGGTATTGAGTTATGGTATTTATTTCCTGTATCGTTTGCTCATTTTGGCGAATGCAATGGGAAGGAAGGCTTGAGAGTTGAGCCATTAAAACTCTGGGTAGGATGGCGTTTGAATCACAGCAAAACTTGGAAGAGGGTACAAAGGCCTATAGTTACCTCTCCTCTTAAGAATATAAACCGTTTTGTAAGCAAACAAAAATAAAATTAAATAAAATAAAAAATAAAAACAAAAACACTCGCTTTTGTGTTTCTGAGATAATCTTTTCCCTTGATTCCTCCTTTCCACTCTTTACCATATACTTAAGCACAAGAAGATTCCTGCAATTTGAAGAAAATTAATTTAGTGACCTGGACATACAAGCTGTGATGCAATGAAGCAGAAGTCCGTCCCTTAGCCCTGACCCTATGAGGGTTCATAGAATTTGGCCAGCTGAGGAGATGGCATCTGGCCTGAGAAGTGAGAGAGCATTTTCTAAAAGTAAGGAGTACATGTATTCAAACAATCCTATTAGACAATTTAAGTACCTCCAGCAAATAGAACAGGTGAGAGAGTGTTTAAACCAAAGTAGAACTCTCCTACCCTAAGTGTTTTTGCAAGAACTTGATCCTATTAAGCCTAGGGTTGCTGAATCCTGCAACAGAAAGCCCCATCTGCCTTTGGTTTGGCGGAAGTCCCTCATCATAGGAGAGCTGGACTGCCATCTGGCATTAGTCCTGGAAACCACTGTGGCCCCCCTCCTCTGCATTCTACCCCAGCCATATGGGCATCATTCAGCACAGGGGTTCAGGCATAAACCTCTCCTGTCCAGATACAAACCTATCTTGGGGGAGGTGAGCAGTTAAGTGTTTTATCAAACATGTGGAGAGGATAAGAGTCTGAGAAGTTAAAGTTGTGACTAGGGAAAAATAAAGGACTAAGGAACAGCAGGTAAAGTCTTAGAACTGACAGATCCTAGCAGATCTATAAAATTTTGTGGTTGTTATCTGCCATCAAATCATTTGCAGCTCATAGTGAATCTATGTACAACTCTGAACCCTGCTATATCCTGGGCCAATTTCATCATCTCCAACACAACTCCCCCATTAGCCCAGTCACTAAGTCAATCCACCTCATCCAGGCCTTCCTCTCGTATACTGTCTTTCCACCTTTCTAAGCATCATGTCCTTGAAGGACTCGTCTCTCCTGGCACCATGCCAAAGTATGTCAGACAGAGCTTCAGAATTCTTGCCTCCAAACAGCTTCCTGGTTTTACTCTCTCCAGGATAGATCTATTTGTTCTCTTAGCAGTCCATGGTATGTTTAATACTCTTCTCCAGCACCACAACTCAAAGGCATGAATAATTCTTCTGTCGTCCATAGTCATTGTCCAGCTCTCTAATGCAAAGCAAATAATTGCAAAAATCAAGGCCTGAATCAGGTGTCTCTAGACTAACATCACTGCTCTTCAGTACTCTCAAGAGATCCCTGACAACAGATTTTCCCAATGCAATTTATCTCTTGATTTCCTGGCTGTTGATATCAAGTGTGTTGATTGTGGTGCCAAGTAAGCTTAAGTTGTCAACAATTTCAAACTCTTCTCCATCTCTCATGATGCTGTCAAGTGATCCAGTGGTGAGAATTCTTGTTTTCCTGATGTTGAGCTTCAATCTATTTTCAGGAGGATCAAAAATAAATTTTCAACATTTCCTCGATAGCAATGTTGTGAGGACCAACAAGGCAGCTTTTGGCATTTGGGCAGTCTAGTCTGCCTGTGGGTTTCAGGTGACCTCATTCATGCGGTGCACATGGAAAGTATCCAGCTTCCCACACACTCGGCATTCCTCCTGGAAAGCTTGCAAACCCACAACTGGGGCTGAAGAGCTGTAGGCCTTTGCTTTTTCTCTAGTGTTCTCTTTTGAGGGTGGCTACACACACACACACACACACACACACACAGAGACAATGGCCCACAAGCTTAATTTTCTCTACCAGTTCAGGAGGGCCTACAGTAAAACAGCGCCGACATGAGAACATTAGGGAGGAAACTGTCATCGCAGACCTAATGCAACAGAGGGTCTCGTGAAATCTTTTTAGAGTGTGGTTGCAGAGATTATTGGAACTGGGCAGGAAAACTATCCACTCAATCTAATTTTTTTCAACTAACAACTGCTACATGAAGATAAATACTCTCCAAACCTTCAGGAAACTTCAATACCAGCACATAAATTTAGGGGGCAAAGGGTGTGTGACAGTGGGAGACCAAATCAGGAGACATGACTTTGATGCCTCTAGTTGCATCTCCTGGTTCACTCTAAAGGCTTTCTTACGATCAACACTTCTTTTCTCGCTCTGCTACCACCACCTGTAAGTAATCAATAGGGTAGCTATAGCAATGAACTTCACAACAATGTGGCAACTATCTGAACAGGCAATGTTCAAGATCTTGACTATTACTAAATTTGACCTTTTGAGTAATGGGAAGAATTAGAGGAAAAGTTGGAGAATCCACAACCACACTCCCACATCCTGAGAAAGAGAAAAATCACTCTCTCACCTATTAGAGACTTTTCCGAGAACAGAGTTATGTCCCGTTGGGCAAAGCTTGAAAAAATGCCAGTTGAAAATGACCCTGATTTCCAGAGTCTGCTGTGCTGCCCCTCTCTCAGCCCCTTTTCAAGGCAGAGTCCACTATGGCTGACCACCCTCCTGCTCTGCTACACTCCACTTTCAAGACTTTTGAACTCAAGTGAGTTGTAGCTTTCCCATAAAATGCCTTGCTTTCTACAAAGCTGGGTCTACTGAGGAGATTAAGAAATCTTTGTATTGGCTCATGCAATCAAGCCTTCCAAATTTCCTTTCTCTACCTCTCCATAGTACTGAAGAACAGTGACGACAGTCTGGAGACTAAGGTGCACCTGATCCCAGCCATCATCTTTACAATTACTTGCTATACTAGTGTATAGCTGGGCGATGACTAAGGATGAGAGAAGGAGAATTGATGCCTTTGAGCTGTGGTGCTGGAGAAGAGTATTGACTATATCATGGACTGATAGGAGAACAAACAGGTTTGTCCTGGAGAGGGTGAAATAGGCTGCTTCTTGGAGGCAAGGATTCGGAAGCTTCTTCTGACATACTTTGGTTATAATGCAAGGAGGAACCAGTCCTTGGAGAAGGACATGATGCTTGGTAGGGTGGAAGGATAGCACAAGAGAGGAAGACCCTGGATGAGATGGATTGACTCAGTGACTGAAGTAATTGGGGTAGGTGTGTCAGAGACAGTAAGTTTGGCCCAGGATATAGCAGGGTGCAGAGCTGTTGTATATAGGGTCACTATGAATTCCAAGTGACTCGATGTCACATTACAACAACCTCTTTGTAAAAGGAGGTCTGGTGGCCTAATGGGTAAAGGAATGTGCTGCTAACCCAAGAGTACATGGTTCAAATCCACCAGATGCTCCATGGTAGAAACATGTACTCTCTTCTCTTGTGTGATTTACAGCCTTTGAAAACCTGCTGAAGGGTCAGTTATAAGTCAGTTCTGACTCAACAGCACCTAATAATAACAATCTTGTAAAGAGGAAAGATGGGAAACACCTGTGGAAAGGATATTGAACCAGAAATGCAGCATGGGTCAGAACATTTCCTAGAACTCTTGAGTTCTGTCAGACAGAATCCTCAGAAGGATTAATACCCCAAAAAAAAGAATACAAAAAAAAGAATACCTAACCTGTAGTGGTCAAACATCCTCACAGGTCAAACCAGCTGCCCTACAAATCTAAGATGGTAGATCAGGTAGTGAAAGCAAGATACTCTGTGGTGGACCATCCTTCATAAATATTTAGAAAATGATAACAGTTATTGTAAGGGACTGAACCAGGTAGGGATATTGAATATATCAATATAAACAAGACACTGATTTGCTCTGACAGTACAGTATGTTCAGTACTGTGGCACTAGTCATGCTTCAAGAGCTCAAGAATCACATGTAGCTAGTGGATACTGTGGTGGAAAGCACAGATACAGAACATCTCTACGTCACCAAAAGCTCCATGAGAGAGCACTGGACGGCAGTGTTAAGGCTGCAATGAATTGTGATATGCCATTATTTTAACAGAACTTCATAAACTTTTTCTCTTAAATGCCATTGTTTCAGTGTGAAGTTTCCACTTAGCAACCTCATCTGTATGATAATGAATTTATCTTGATAGGCTATAAGGAGCCTGAATTATGTACAGGATTCTTGGATTCTGATGTGACATAATTTAAGGCTGGATGGTTTCAGTTTTGTTTTCAAAAATAGTGCCTAGAATTTTGTTGGTTAGTTTGTTCATAATTAACAATGGCACACCGCATCAGAATTAGCCTGCTGGGGTCTGTTGTTAACTGCTCTCAAGCTGTTTCTGATTTGTGGCAGGCCTTATGTACAACCTAATGATACAGTGCTCAGTCCTTCATCATCTTCATGACTGTTGGCATGTTTGAATCCACTATTGCAGCCACTGTGTAGTATCTCCCAATGTAGGAGCTCACCTTCCTATATACTGCACAAAATTATGTTGTGTTCCATAGGGTTTTCATTGGATAATTTTCAGAAGTGGACTGCTGGGCTTTCCTCCTAGTCCATCATTGTCCGGAAGCTCCGCTGAAACATGTCCATCACAGATGACCCTAACAGTCTTCAAAATATTGGCATAGCTCCCAGAATCATAGCAACCATGATCTGAGATGAATAGTGCTACAGGGGTTCAGCTGATACTTCTATCATCCTCAGAAAAGAATTTGGCTTTTACCCCTAGACTCAAATATTCTGTGCTCACTTCTGGCTCTATCCAGTTGTGTATAAGCCGTACAGTTCTTAGGGTCCACAAATAGGATAAAGAATCCTACCAACCTCAGGGAGTGACTACCATTTGTTTCAACACCCATTAGGAAATTCCCATAAGTAATAAAAGCAAAGCCATTTTTCCTTGATATGAAAAGCAGAATTACAATAAACAGATTTTTGAAGCCTAAACAAAGCTGAAAAATGAGTTATCCTAGAAAACAATTTTTTTTCTACTACCTGTAACTCTACCTGCCAAGGAAGTGGTAAACTATCAAGCCCTTATTCACATCTTCAATGCCCCACTCACTGCCCTAAGCTGATCTCCAGAGTTCTGGTGAAGCACACACTCTGAAACTGATCAAAGACATGGGAAGGGAGCTGAAGCATGCATAAGGAGAGATGTGAAGAAGACAAGTTACCTGACAGATAATGTTATCATAGTGAGCCAAGGCACGAGCATGGGGGGAGGAGGTACGGGGAGTGTCGCAAAGTTTCCTTACATTTGGGTGAGAGCCCTCAGCAATGGTGGAGAGAGAGAAGTTATCATTGTGCAGCTCAGATGGGGTCCGGAATTTGCTAAGTAAGACAGAGGAGAGAAAAGAAAATGTAAGTGAAATGATTATGGAAAAGTTTAACACCAGTAATAATACCTCAGTTTCATGGGTCAAATACCATAATTCATCAAATGCCATGGAGTATAACATACTATTAAGAAAATATCTTTTACCATTTAAATAATCCATTATTTCACAAGACCCTAGAATTTTTATTTTATACTTAAAGCAGCCACTTGACTTTTAATAAAGAACTGACAATGATATGAACAGCCACAGCCATGTTTGTGCATGCCAGGCAGTTACAACTACATCATGATTGCCATCTGGCCGAGAGTGATTATAAGATGCCAGCAATTGGAAGACAATCCAATTTCAGAGATGTTAATATGAGTGGAAAAATGTTTATCTTAGAATCAATAAATTCCAGCACTATCTGTAGTGTGTCGGGCATATGCAAACCTATTAGAACAGTAACAAGACTCAGGAAAGAAATATAAATATTCAGAGGAAAACAAGGGGATGATATCTGCACTAGAGAAGTGCAGGAGCCATGCTCTGTGCATAAGACATCGCTGGCTGGAAGAGGAGGGCTTAGAATTGACGAACTATTGCAGCCATAACTCGTTTCTCCATTGCTGGAGCAGTTGCTTCTTTCTCCCCTCCATCCTCATCAGCAAGTGTCCTCATTTAGGCAGTCCCCTCCCCCTCCTCTCTGAACATCCCTGCTCACTCAACCCCTTGATATGGGGTCCTGGCTTGTGTCTCTTTGGAGTGATCACATGCACAGATACAACCCGCCTCAATGCACAGGCACAATGGAGGGGCCCTTTCAGCCCCACGACAGTTAGCTGGAAGGCTGCAGAGAGCTGCTGGCATCTGCACATTGCATGCATCTACTCAGCAAAGGAGCAACAGATGGCATTTTGTCCTTTTCCCAGGACTCAGGGAAAGTCCTTCAGTCATTCTCTGGAAGGAGTTTCAGGTCAGGGGGAAATAAATGGGCAACAGGTTTCAAGGGAGGGGGACACAATTCTGTACAAATTGGGTCTAAGGGAGCTGAGCTCCTATCTCCTCCTTTTGGGACTGTGGCATTTTAGAGAGGTGTTGTTTGGCCTAGTGTTAAAAGCACTCTCCTAGTATACAAGAGTAGGATAAAGTATTCAAGGCATGGACTTAAACAGTCAACACATACTAACTTTAACATCCACACATCCATCAGTCACTGCTATGCTAAGGGAAGAGCCGAACTAAGCCCTTAAAAAGCCAGTGTAGAGGACGAAAATTCAAGCACCTCCATAAAATTCTTCTCAGGAGATGTAAGGAGAATTTTCTTTTTTTGTTGTTGTTATTGTTGTGTACCATCGAATCCAATCTGACTAGCACTGGAGGAGATTGCCCCTCCTTCTCCAGCAGAGCATCTGGTGGATTCAAATTGAGTGCCTTAGGGACTGCAGCACAGCTTCTTGCCACTAGTCTACCAGAGCTCCCTTTAAAGTTAATTTTGTTAATAAATTATCTTAGTAAAAAAGAATTGTACTTCTGTTTGGACTAGGGGCTTGTAAGTTTTTAAAAACCCATGCATTGTTGCTAAACCCTTTCTCTTCAGCATCATGAAATTGGTACTGAGGTGACAGATCTGACGAAGATCGAGTTTCTTCATATGAGTTTGTGAGTCGACTCTTCATATTGGTTTGGACAAAGAGACAGCTGAACGGTAACTTACTTGGGGGAGGGGAAAGGCTGGAGTTGCTATATTCTTTAAAGCACCTTATATCCTTGGGGGTGATAGTACTGGGAATTTTTCTGGATAGCAGATGTGAGAGCATGACAAAATCCCTGGGCCAAGGGTCAGGGTGCTCCTCATCTTGACAGACTGGGTGACACTTACTTGGTCCTACGCAGCTTGGTATTCTCTGTCTTGAGCAGATAGAGTTTCTTGGCAAAGAACACTGTCATCATGAAGAGGAGGAGCAGCACAAGGGCAGCCGAGCCAACGGCCACGCACATCACCTGGAAGTCAGTGATGATGGACTCACAGCGCATGCCCTTGTGCCAAATGTAGTCTTGTGTGTTGCACCTGCAGCAAGGACAGGAGAGACTGAGGCAATGGCACCAGAAGCTGCAGTCAGGACATGGCTTTCCCCATAACTAGCTCAACAGTCCATTCCTATGACAATCTAGAGGGTCTGTAACGCTCTGTGCCTGGGCAGCTTTTATCTTATCCTCATTTCATCATTATAACCACCCTCTGAAGTAGACAGGCAGCTCAGAGGTCAAGGATATAAGTGAGGTAGCTGAGGTTACGTGGCCATTGGGTGACCAAACAGAGAAGGGTATCCTGGCCTGTCTCACAATCACAGGATTCTCTCAAGCCCCTCACTGGCCAAAGCGCTGGACAAAAGACAAAAACATGAACAGGAGCTATGGCTACAAACACCAGGACCTGCTATACACACGGAAAGCTATCTGTTGCTCTGCAATTCTATCTACCTCACGTGGCTAACCAGACACTGAAAAATAAGGAAGTGGCAGACAAGGACAAACACAAAGATGGATGTATAGTCTCCTCCCACCTCCTGTAGCCCCCCAAAGAACTCCCCCTAAAGCTCCCTACCCCATTACCAAAAGAATGGTCATGCAAGCAGAGTGAGAATCACTCTCTGGGTGGGTTTTAGTCCTTTTGTTGAGTGACTTTCTCCTGCCCTTGGGGACATTCCCATGCTCCAACTCTTCCAATGACATTGCTGTTTCCATGGGAACCAGGCTGCTTCAAAGAGGAAAGATGTGGAAGGATACAGAGGCAGGCAAAAGAGGGAGGACATGAACCTCAGGATGAATGACAGACTGGAGAAAGGGGTCCAGAAACAGGAAAACTATGCATGGGAGAACTGGCTACTCTACATCCAGAACTGGGTGGGGAGAGAGTCTTGGCTAATAAAGAAGTCCTCTTTCTTTCTCGAATGAACCTGTGCAGTCACAGGGTGGTTATCTGTCTGAGGATGTCAGGGTAAGCTTGTCTCTCGAAGAGAAGCCCTCTAACCCTCTGTTCTAGAGAAGTTCCGCCACAGCTCTGATCGTTTTCCTGCAGTGGGTCAGAGTGACAGAGACAAAGGCATACTGCAGTCTGCAACTAAAGGCTCAGCAGTCTCCTGTGAGTGGAATGCAAAACAGTTCTCCAGCCATGGCTAAGAAAGAGTACACAGAAGAGGCAGGGAGACCCATGTGTGACCCTGGGATGTAAGCTGAGCAAGAACTGGCATGGGTTCGAGAAGCCTCTCTGGGTCTTCATTACACATTGGTGGACTCTGCAGCAAAGCCAGGCAGATCAGTGGAGGAAGACAGCTTTCCTCTTCCACTTGGGAATCCCCTGAGAGCTCGAGGAGGTTCTGAGAACTCCAGAAGCAGCAAGGGCTCCAAATACTTCCATACTCTCATGGGGATTTCACTTTGAAGAAGAAAATACCAGACCTCCAATAAGATGAAAAAGGATGTGGCAGAAATTCCACAGCTCCCAGGCTGAAATCATCACAATTCCCTCAGCTGAAGTCTGAAGAGCAAAACCATGGGTTTCCCCATATTTCTGGTTGCCTTTAATGAATCGGAAAGGTTCCTGTTGCCTTAATTTCTAGCGGCACACTCTCCTCTTGACAATGGCTGGATGGCTCCAACCAGAACTGTGTGGCCACACCCTTTATCACTGACCCTAATCTTGATTAGCACAAAATCTAACTTTAAAAAAGGACTGGAACTCATGCTTCTATGCAGGATGGTCGGCTCAAAATTCATTGGTATCTATTAATATTCAGAACATCAAGACCTGAAGAATTTTAGTCCTTGACATACCTCAAAAACAAAACAAACAAACAAAAAAACCCCACCAAACCCAAAAACCCTACTGGAAAAATAGAGACCACCATCAAAAAAGCCACTCAGGTAATGAAAGTGCTGCCCCTAGAATTAACGGAAAGCAGCCTCAGAAAAGGGTGAAACTTCTATTCCACAGGCAGGGCGAGTAGAGGACTGAAAGAAGTGAACCACCAGACTACCTGTGACTGTGATTCCTCCACAATACATCAGCCAGCACTGCAGCACGTTAAATGCCTCACTCACTGTGAGGGGAGTTGCTCCAAATGATGATGAATGAACAATTACCTTATGAGGCGCAGATGGCAACTCGACTTCCAGGATCTTTAATAACATTATGGGGAGGGTAGCCCAACTTCAAAGTGAGGGGCAAAGCCACTGGCCGAGGGTAAGCAACACAATCACAGTCATGACACCAAGAAAGATTCTCAGTGTGATTCTACCCCCGTGGTAGGGAGTGGTCACTCACTGGGTCTTCACACAGTTTACATGTCTCCCTGGACACGGGCCACTCAAGGGGGCGAGGCCCTCTCCACGCGTGGCTCAGGTGTCCAGCAGCAATCTGTCCTACAGAGAGGGCTGTGGACCGGCCCTCCTTGTGCCAGTACAGCCAGATGCTTCAGCCAAGATTCCTCGACCCTGCAAAGGTCTCTTTCCAGAAACCTCGAAATGGGATCTTTTCCAGGTTAGTGGTTTAATAAAGGACCCAGGACTTGCAACACCTTGTCTCTCTAGGGACTCTGACTTATTGATGAAGCCCTTCTGCAGAAAGCACCTGTGAGTGACCGCTTCCTGACCTGGGAACCCTGTGACTGTCATCACAGCTGCCCACGTCGCTGAGCCCCACCGGGCGCACTTTTGGGGGCCCTGGGGGCCACGGCCTTACCTGCAGAAGGCGCCCATGTTCTCCACCAGGTAGCACTGGCCGCCGTTGTGACAGTAGCTGGGGAAGAGGTCGCACACGGACCTGCAGGAGCCGTTGTGTCGCACGAAGCCGTTGCGACACTCGGTGGCGTTGGCGCCCGGGGCCAGGTCCCTGCCGGGCTCTCCCGGGCGGGGCCGGAGGGCGATGCTGCTGCCAGGGACCAGCCCCAGGGGGTGCTGGGGGGGCGCGGGGTGCCACCGGCCGGGGGGCTGGCTCGCCCCCGGGCCCGGCTTCTTGGTGGGCACCCCGAGGTCATTCTCGTCCTCCAGGTCTCCACCGCCCACCGCGTCCTTGTCCTCCTCCTCCTCCTCCTCTTCCTCCAAGTCGTCGTAGAACGAGGTGGTGGGGTAGAAATCGGACTCGTCGAAGGGGGTGAAGTCGTCGTAGAGGTCGAGCAGGCTCCACGACGGGGTCTCCCCGCCGGGGTCGCCGTCAGGGTGATGCTCCGAGGTGCCCAGCGGCCCCGGGAAGCTGCCCAGGTCGGCGCCGCGGCCCTCCCCGTCCAGGCCTTCGAAGTAGTCGATGTCAAGGATGTCAGAGCCCTGGGGCTCCCGCGTGCCCTGGGGGGGATCCGTGGGATCCGGCTCGTGAGGGTCGGGGGTGCTGGCTCCCAGGTTCAGCCAAATCTCCAGGGGACTCTCCTTGGGGAGTTCGGGGCTCGGGCTGGGCTCGTGGGCCGGGGTGGGGGACGGGGACCCACTAGCCTCGGGTGCGGCGGGGGGCACCGACGACTGCTCCACGGAGGCCTCAATGGGAGCCGGTGGTGTGGCCGGCAGGGCCTGGGCTTCGCCACTGCCCACCTCGGCGGTCACTCCGCCCAGGCTGGGGCTGTCAGAGTCCGGCCAGGCGGCGCCGGTCACGGCGGCGGATGCCTCCAGAGCCTCTTCGGGCCTGACCCCAAGGCCCACGGCGGCTGGGTCGTCGGAGGGCACGGTCCACGTGGCCTTGTCGCCCCCGGTGGCTGGGGCGCTGGCCCCTTCCCGCGTGCCATTGGCGCGGGGACCCCACGACAGGGCGCCTGGTAGCTCCTCGGCGTCGACGGCGCTGCCTACCTCGCGCGCTGTGGGCGGGAAGCCGAGGGGCGGGGCTTCAGCGCGCGCAAAGGCTCCTGGGCCCCGCCCGCTCGGCGCCCTCCGGCCCGCGCCGCCCTCAGCGGGCTCCTCGAGGCGCTGCAGGCCACGCCCCCAACCCGCCCGGCTCTCCCAGGGCCCGCCCCCTCGGTCCGGCAGGCCGGCCGCCCAGCGCGCTCCGGCTGCTCCAGCTTCTCACATGCAGCCTCGAAGGCCAAGCCACGGCGACCGCAGCTCGAATCCCAATCCAAAGCTCACCCGCTCCATCACCCGTCCCACCTTCAGGCCCCGCCTCGAAGTCTCACCC